GGTTGGGGGTTGGGGTTGGGGTGTAGGGTCGGGGTTGGGGTGTAGGGTCGGGGTGTAGGTGTAGGGTCGGGGTTAGGGGTTACATTAGGGTTAAGGAGGGTTTGGGTTAGGGTTAGGGTTCGGGTTTGGTTTGGAGCTAGGCTTAGGTTTTGGGTTAGGGTTAGAATTAAGTTTAGAGGTTGGGGTTGGGGTTGGGATTTGGTTTAGGGTTAGGCCGTGCTCCTGGAGATCATCCCTCCAGCAGAGAAGGGCCTTTCCATCTTTCCCAGAGGGCCGTGGCCACCCCTGCCCAGTGCCGGCACCTCCCCGGGTCCCCCGTCATTGTCCTTGCTGTCCCCTGGAGCCGCCCCTTCTTCTCCTGGGCCCCTTCTCCTGCCCCAACTCCTGCGGGACCCGTGGGAGCTCCACCAGCCTCCTCCCACGGCTCCCTCACCTCCGATCCTCACCAGCGTCTCCACGTTGCTCCCCAAAAGTTGCCTTCGAGCGTGGTCTGGGGCAGGCGAAGGCAGCCAGAGTGGGCAGCGGTGGGGAGGTGCAAGGCACAAGGGATGGATGGCCACCAGGGTGGAGGTCCGTGAAGTCAAGGAGCCACGCGGGGACAACAGGCAGGGGTTGGGTTCTCACCACCCCCTCCAAAGACATGGAGAGGCAAAGCAGGAGCTGCGTGGTCACCCAGAGGTGGGGAAGGGTTTCTCCCCACAGGTCTCCCTGCAGCCCTGGGGTCAAGCCAGACCCCCCTGTGGCTGTGCCTGGAGGCTCAGCCCAGCTCCTCCACCTCCCTCTTAGCACAGAGGTCATCTCCATCCTGTAGATAAAGAGGGGGGGGGGGGGGGGGCTCACAGCGAAATCCCGTCATCTCTGCTGGAGCTGGTGCTGCAGCGATGAAGGCCCCTTCCGACAACCCCACGCTGAGATGGATCTGGTCTTGCAGGTCCCAAGGTGATGGACCTAGCTAAGACAACCTTTGAGAAGCTCTCAGGACATCCTACACCTGGCAGAGCACTAGACAACTAAATCCGGTCCCAGAGTGCTTGATCAGAAGCTCTGGCTGACGCTGGAGATATCTGTGATGAGGCCATCGGACTAGAGGCTTGTTGCATGCCCAAGATCTGCTTTTGAGCTGGTCACCTGGACTCTCTGGGTAGTCACCAAGGGGTAGATTGGAGCATGAGACCCTACAAGTGGCCACCTATATCTTGGAGATGTTTTGTGCCCCAGACTCTTTGGCCCAGATCTTCTCCAGCTCTCTGAAAATCTGAGGAACCAGCTCAGGTGGAGATACCTCCACAGAGGACTTCTGGAGTTCGAGATGAGTCCTCGCCTCACACCCTGAGAAGGAAACACAAGAGGCCATGGGTTTCCACTGGAGACCTGGGTAGCCCAGCCAACCCCCTCATGGTTTTGGGACCATCATTGCATTTTTCGGAATTGGTCTTAAAACACAACGTTAAACTATCTCAGACCCACGGAGAGGTCCTGTGCCACGCCAGGAGACCCGATGAGCTGTGTGCTCTGCGTGACGAGGCCTTGGGCTGATGGCAAGGGGTGGGAGATGGCACCTTCCGGCTGGGCTATTCAAGCGCAGGCCTGGAGGAGAGCTGGTTGTCCCACGGTGTGCGTGCCGGGAGCTGCACGCGCACAACCCCTCCCTTCCACTCTTTGCACAAAACCACGGATTTTTCAAGCTAAAAGGTTTCAACCCTTGAGACCTTCAAGACCTTGAGACAAAAGGTTTCAACCCTTGAGACCTTCAAGAAAACCGGGGCAGTCCTGTCTGCTGGAGCTGCAGCGGTGCTTCTCCTCAGGTGACTGTCACCTCCTGACCCCGTGCGGATGTTTAATCCTCCTTACAGCGAGCAGACGGTGCTGCACATCGCCAGCCTCTGGAGATACACCAGGATTGCATCGGCGTGACCCCACGCGGGGTGCTTCACCTCCAGAGACATGATGGAGGGAGCTGTGTCTCCACCTCTCCGCAGGCTGGTTCTTCGAGCTCCGGTGCCAGGCTGAGCTCCTACACCTCCCTACGCTTCTGCACCAAGGGAGCATGAGATCTTCACCCCCTGCTGCCACCTGGAACTTCTGTAGGAGCCCAGGCATCATCTGACCTGGGATGATGACACTCAACCCAGTGCCTCCGCCCACCCCCGTGCCTACAAACTGTTTAAGTCCCTCTCTACGAGCCACGTTGGTGGCCAGACACCGAGGGAAAAGGCAGACGGGATCATCACGGGGCTGATCAGGCTGTTGCCTGGTGTGTCCGTCCTTCCTGGAAGAGCGAGTGCTCATCACCTCATTGTTGCCATCGGGTTGGATGGCCGAGTCCTGATGAAGGTCGGGGAGCAGCTTTTCCTCCTGAAGCCTGGGGGGGGTTGACAGCAGCAGCAGGAGGAGAAAAAACAGTTTTAAAAGTATTAAGGAATTCCGACGGTTGCAGGACCATCAAACTGCATCTCCTCTGATTTCCAACATCCCCCATGCCTAGAGACATCCCTCAAGCTGGGCCTCCTGGAGCGTGAGGACCCCTGGAGCAGCGTGAGCCACCCCCTCCGAAGGTAAGTGACTGATGCAATCGGAGAAGTTCCTGCGAGAAATGCCCGTTCCCCTCTAGAAGGAGAGAAATGGTGGGCATCCAGCGCTACGTGAGACACCCCCTTCAGATGGAGCTCGGTTGACTCTCCTAGAGTCCAGTGGGACTGCTGACCATGCTGCTCTTCCCGGGCATTGTCCCACCCCTTGCCCAGATCTGCTGATGGGGTGAAGGATCCGAGTTCATCCCGGTGCAGAGCAGGCAGAGGTGTCTGCCCCCCCTCCAGAAAGCCCCAGGAGCAGCCACGGTTGGTGGAGATCCCAGGTGAGAGCCAGGGGAGCGTGGAGAGGCTGATGGAGGTCTGCAGCTGGCAGCGATGACCCCAACCTTCTCACTGCTGCGTCCCCTGACCCTGCTGAGGACCTAACGCCCTTCCTGCTCTTCTAGCTTCTTCTTTCCAGTTGCAATCAGTGACTCTGCACCCGGGGGACCCAGTGCCCCCCCCCCCAAGTGCGGCACAACCCTTCAAGTGGTGGAGAACAAGAAGACGCTTTGTGCTTGGTACAGGATCAAGCATCCACAGGGAAATTCAGCCTTAAGAGGGGAATATCCCAAAACCAATCCTCACACCAGGCGACAGCTCACCACGCTCGTCCTCTGCACACGGAAAGCCGCCCCTCTTGCTCTTACGGCTGGGCCTCATAGATGGTTTGGAGTAACTCTGTTACCTACAAAGTCCTGGTACCAACCATCACAGCAACACCAGGGGTTTGGCTAAAGATGACCACGGAGGCATTTAAAAGATGTGTAGATGTGGCGCTCAGGGCCATGGTTTAGTGGTGGACTTGGCAGTCTTAGGTTTACAGTTGGACTTGAGGGTCTTTTCCAACCTAAATGATTCTATGATCCTATGGCGTTCTTGGCCTGGCCATTGAGCATCAGCATGGGCCAGGACTGAGTTTAACGTAAATTAATGACGTTACCAAGTTCTTCTCAGCGGTGCCAGGAGAGGAGCTCTGAAGGCACATGAGATATTGCTGGGCAAAGAGAAGGTTTGGTAGGTCTCAGACGTGCACATCGATTTCCATGTTATTTCTTGCGGGAGATAGCTAGAAAGCAAGAATTTAAGTCTGACGTAGGTGCTGTTTCGTCCGCGGGACGCTGAGCTGCTGGTTAAAAAGTTGTGCTCTTCTCCGACAAAGCACAAATGCGGAGGGGCAACCAAAGCACCCCGAGAAGGTTCATTTTTGACCGGGTTTTCCCCACTTCCCTGAGCGCCAGGTTATGTTGTTTGTGCTATTTCTCCTCATGCACGTGGTGACCCTGGCTGGAAATCCGGTGATAATGGTTGTTACCGGGGTGGACCGAGGGCTGCACACGCCCTTGTACCTCTTCCTATGTGCGCTGTCCTTCTCAGAGCTCTGTTGCACCTCCTCCCTCAGCCCAAAGACGCCGTCTGGGTTAGTGCCGGGAACTCGAGCCGTTTCTTTCCTGGGCTGTGCTGCGCGAATGCATTTCTACTTCATGTTTGACTTCATGCACTCTTTCCTCCTGAGGGTAATGGGGTACGACCAGTACGTGTCCACCTGTCACCCCCTTGTGTTACAACACCCTCCCGTGTCTTCATCCAGCTGGTGGTTGCCTCATGGGTGG